GTTGTAACAAAAACGGGAAAGAAGGGCCGACGATTTAATACCCTTGCATATCCAACTTTTTCATAATGCTTATATTGCTTTGCCCTTAAGAAGCATAGGCACAATAATTAATGCCGAGTTTGGTCAAGATATCTTGAAAAACTAAAAAGTTTTCCAAACAGGAACCTACTTTTCGACCGATAGTTCTTTTGGCAGCTATATGATATAGTGGTCCGATAGAGCCAACAGACAGAGGAGATGCCTCCGTCTATGCGTTACACATTTCATGAAACAATTATAATACCCTTTGCAAGGGTATTAAAACAGCTACTATTCAGATATATATAATATATGGTAAACAGTCCGAAAGAGATTCAAGTATAAAGACAATTTGTTTTTGTTCTGGTTGTAAATCTATAAAATAAACTGAAGTTGAGCTTTATTTAAGAACACACTTAATAGATGGCACAACCTCCTCGATCCAGTCGATGCAGATCTCGGTCACCTGGCGCAGAAAATTGTGCTCCGTTTGCACCATTTCGGTGAAGAGGATGCACTGCGGCTTGTACTTGCCGTGCAGCACGCTGGACGGATGAATCTTGGCCTTGACACGCCCGCTGAGCGTCAGATAGTGTCCCTCCTTCTGGAGCAGGGCGATGTTGTCGAAGAGACCCGTCAGCAGGCACTTCTTGACCGCATCCGTGTTGTCGCCGCAGCTGTTGAAGGCCAGATTCAGACGGGCGCTAATCTCGGCCAGCTGGTTGCGCACGTTGCGAGCATAGTTCAGATTGCGTATATTGAGGAAGTTGTCGTGGCACCAGATCTTTGGCTTTTCGGTTTTCTGGAACGTGCTGAACACGTTGAGCAGGGTCAAATGGTCGCCGTGCTTGGACTGGAACTTGGCGTGCGCCAAGGCGGCCAGTTCGCTCTTGTCCGTGTGTCCAATGAACACATTGTCGCTGGACAAGGCCGCCACCAGGCTGAGCATCTCCTCCATGCAGCCGAATGTGGGCGCCGCGAGCAACAGCTTGGCGTATCTGGGATCCAGCGGAAACTGGGCCATCCAGCGGCCCGTCGTGGTGATGCTGGGCGCAGCAGCCGACTTGATGGCACCCAATTGCTCCAGGGCCTGGTAGGCGCTCTGCACGCCCTCCGGCTGTGGGGCGTCTATGAAATCAAAGCTGGCGCAATCGATGCCTAGCGCGAGCAACTGCAGCACCGTGGCGGTCAGATTGGCGCGCAATATCTCTGGCTGTGCGGCGCTGCGGAACTTCTCCATGGTGGCCTTCGTATAGGTGCGATAGCAGACGCCTGGCGCATCGCGTCCGGCGCGTCCGCTGCGCTGCCAGGCCTGTGCCTGCGAGATGCGCACGGTTTTGAGCAAATCCAGACCAGAGCTCGGATTGAACGACTTCTCCTTGACAAAGCCGCAGTCGATGACACAGCGTATGCCCGGTATGGTAATCGATGTCTCGGCTATATTCGTGGCCAGGACAATTTTACGTGTGTTCGCCGGCACGGGCAGAAAGCATTCCAGCTGCTTGCCCTGGGCCATCTGGGCGTAGAGCGTAAAGACGCGCACATCGGAGGGGCCCGAGTTGTTGATCCTGGCCAGCTGGCGGATTTGCTGGGCCAGCGCCTCGATCTCTTCCTGACCGGTTAGAAAGATGAGCACATCATGATTGATGGGCTCGTGGCGATGTATATCGAAGAGTGTGACCAGGGCTGCGTGTATGTAATCCTCTTGCGTCTCCTTGGCGTGCAGCACGCGCACCGGATGCGTGCGCCCCTCCAGATACATGCCCTTCACATTGAAGTATTTGCCAAAATGATCAATGTCCATCGTGGCCGAGGTAATTATGAGCTTCAGCTTGGTCAGCTTGTGCTTGCGGCGCTCCTGCTGCGCCTCCTTCACAATGCCGAACAGCACATCCGCATTGACCGTACGCTCGTGCGCCTCGTCCAGCATAATGGCCGTATATCGGCGCAGCAAACGATCCGCAATCGCCTCGCGCAACAGTATGCCATCCGTGAGGTAGCGTATGCGCGTTCGCTCCGTGGTGGTGTCCTCGAAGCGCACCGTATAGCCCACGGTGTCGCCCACGGTGCTGGCCAGCTCCTGCGCCACGCGCTTCGCTATGGTGATGGCCGCCACGCGGCGTGGCTGGGTGATGCCAATGATGCCGCTGTTCGCGTAGCCGGCCTGCAGCAGAAATTGCGGGATTTGTGTGGTTTTGCCGGAGCCGGTTTCGCCCATGATCAACAGCGTGTCGTTCGCCTCCAGCTCCTTGAGTATGCGCTGCCGGCAATGGTAAACGGGCAGCGCCCTGCGCTCCTGCTCGACGCTGCTCTTCTTGCTGCCCAGGACATTCTTGTACGGACTCTGGAGCTTGGGTGGACTATTATAGTTGGGCTTCTTGATGCAGTTCTGTTCCTTCATCGGCTCGATTTTGCGCTTGACGGGAAAGCTGGCGGCCAAGCTTGGATTGCCATTGCCATTGATCAGGTATTTCGATTCCATGCTGCGCAGTCTCTGCTGCGGCAGGTAAAATGAAAAAATTGTCTAAAGTTGTTTTGTTTGTGCAATTGATGGGCGCTATTTGCGCTGCAATTAAATGTGCTATCAGTCTTAAAACACTTACCCGGACATGGGCTTTACACTGGCAACTTTATCAAGCCAGGTAAATATTGGATATAACTATAAACAAGGGCGCTTGTGTATGTGTGTGTGTCTGTGTGTGTGTAATCACAGGTGGGGACAAGCGCTCCACGCTTGTGCTTTAGTGATGCGCACAGCGAAAATGTATCGTTTAAGAGGAACTATCGACAGCTTGAGTTGTCTGCTATCGATTATTTTGTGCAGCCAATGGCCATTACGACTAAACAACTGGATTACAAAAAATAATAAATTAACACTATGTTTCGCCATCAGATTTTAGGTTTAGAATTATCAACCTCGATTTCCCACATTATAGTGTTTCATTAGATTTTATATGATGATTTTATGTTATTTAACAAGCTACAAATGAAAGGCCTGGTAATAGAATAGCGCCTGTTAACTAACATAATAAAAAACAATATTTACTTTAGTCCGCACTTCCAACAATACTCCACCACTATAATATTTTAGTTCAGTGTGTAGTGCTGCCCATCATTTGCAAATAGTGGGAACAATAACTTACAGTGGGGTAACTCAACTTTTACCTACTTTACTGTGGCCCAATAGTGGTATATACTAACATTCAGCTTTTGTACGTTATTGAAATGTCCTTTTTTACAGTCTCTCAATTTATTGCCCATTTGTGCTGAGCCCCTTATTTATGCATTATTTCGTATTCCCTGTATTTTAGCTCAGCAAATAGTGGGTGTACCTTTTTAGATCACTTACCCCACTTCGAACAACGATCGACATACTGAAACTGGGACTAGTTGCATTGACCTACACGCCAAGCAACTGTTTAGTACAGAAGGCACATCTCTAAGTGCCCGCGTTTCGCGCTGAATGACAACTAAAACAGCTGTTTTCGCTTTTTCATCGGTGCGTATTTTCCACAACATATTCGAAGCTCGCCAACATTTAATATTATTGAATTTAAGAATTAAGAGCTTTAAGAGAAAATGGTTGCCGGCGGCGCATCAGATACGGGCGGCGTTAAGCCCATGGTCATCGCGGGCCGCATGGTCCGCGAACGCGAGCGCCTCATCGGCATGACGCCCGAGGAGCGTGCCTGGCGCAAACAATGGCTCAAGGACCAGGAGCTGCCCCATGGGCCGCGCAAGGTGCCCGCCCTGGAGCTGGAGCTTAACAATCCCATCAGGCGTTTCTATCGTGCACCCTTGGACAAGGTTTGCAGCGTTTTGACGCCAGCGCTGGTGGGTGCAATTTGTGTTATGTAATCGAAAAAATGTTTAATATTTTTTTTTTTCTTTGTCAATTTCCCTGCGCCTTTTTCAAGGGCTTCCAACGCGCCTACACGGTGCGCTACTGGACCGGCAAGGCGCTGATTGCGCTGACGGGCATCTATGCCGCCGCCTACTACTTCAAATATAATCAGAACGTGAGTAAGCCAAGTTTGACATTATCAGCTTGGGTCTCATCCAATGCCAATCTGTTGCAGGATTGGACGCGCAAGGGCGGCTGGCGTGTGATATCGTCGCGCAAGGCGTGCGTGCCCGGCGACGAGGGCTATCCCCGTGTCTCGGACCGCTCGGCGCCCGCCGACTATGCGGCGCGCGGCTTCAAGCAGTCCCCGATCTAGGAACCAGCTCCAGCTGCCAGTTTGAAACGTCTTTCAATTAATGTTAGCAACAACCAATTCGCAATAAACATGGAACACACACACACACACACACACGCACGCACGCAAACTGGCTGTAACTGTATTCGCTGCAGAGCTTTGTCCCTGGCAAATGGGCAACCATTTTTACTTTGTGATGCCCTTGCATGGGTTGCCTTGATGTTCTCATTAAACATGTAACGCAATTTGCGAGACATTTGCGGCATTTATATTATGTCAGCCAGATCTGAGATCTGTGCATATCTCGAAAATCTTCTGCAAGCAAGGGTATTTCATATTCGTCCATTAACGGTTATTTCGTTTCTGCTGCGTTTGGCAAAAATTTGGTTTTGATTTTTTTTACTATGGCGCTGTTTAAGCACTTTTCAGCAGCTGTGCTCAATTTCGTACTATCGGTGCTTTTCTTTTATTCTGATTCTCGAGTTGTTGAGCTTTAATTCGTTGCGCGGCGTCAAATTTGTCGAATTTAATACAAGAAATACCCTTTTGACCCAGTTAAAATAATAAACAGAAATAAAAACAGTTAAATAACATGAATACAAAGCGTTACCAGACTATTTACGCAATTTGAAACAGTTGCCATACGCTTATATATATAATATTGCTGGCTTACTAATTGTAAAAAGTGTCGTGTTTTTAGAGCAGCGAATAGTGAGAACTTGAATTATGCGCTAGTTAAATGGAAAATAATTTAATTTTAAATTGGCCCGCTGGTGCGTGGCATTCAATGTTTACATTTTTCGCCGCGAATGGCAATTGCGCGCTGTGCTAAAAGAAATATCGCTTAATGGTGATGAGTGCAGCGCCCGAGTATCGATCATCACTAAGAAAATGCTCTTTTTTGTTATCGCTGTTCTCTCTTCCACTCTGCAACGGCGACAGCGCAGTTCACTTGAATTTTGTGAAACTCAGCCGGAAAAAGGTTTGATGTTGGTCCTGAAATTGTGGATCTAATTGCGCCAAGCACTCGCATACACAGGCGAACTGGATTTTCGATCGCATTTGGCCTTGACTGGAGCGTGTGCCGGTGTGGCAAAAAAACTAACAAAAACCCCGAGAGTTGTCGCTGTGTTTATGTGTGTGCGTGTGCAATTTATATATTTTTTCATCCGCGTGGAGCGCATTGGAACACACTAATTTTCTGTGCTAACTGCGCGCGTGGCTCGCACACACATCTCACCTAACCAACCCCCAATGCAACAACATCATCCATAACAACAACAGCGAGAACAAGAAGAAGAAGAGCAACACTTGCCCGAGCACCGAAAGTCTTCATCCGGAACAGGTGAGTGAGCAATTGTCCGCTAGGCAAGTTCAAAGCTCCGTATTATTAGCGGCTTCACTTTTGGCTACGTTCTTATATATTTTGTTTTTCTCGTTGTTGTTTTTGCAATTCCAATACATGCGATGCCGTTGCTTTTGGTTAAAAAAAAATAAAATTTTTTTTTCTTAAATTTTTTTCTGCCCTTGCCTTGTTCTACGAAAAAAATTGTGCCCGCCGCCAGCGTCGACGTTAGCGTCGCTGTCAACGTCGCTCTCGCGCTCTCCCAAGTGGTCGCTCAGCTCAGCTGTCATTTTGTCGTGAGAGCGCTTGACGTCGACGTTGCTTCCCGCGCGCGGGAAATTCACAACTTTGTCCATTCATAACTTGCCCAATTTTGCAATGATTTTTGCACACTTTATCAAATTAGATTCTATGTGTTTTATCCAATCCAATGCATATGCGCAACCATATGGTTTCATTTAGAAAAACGTTACTAGCGGCCGCCAAAGTTGGTGTCAAAAAAGTCCAAATTCGCCGCACACAAACAACAAAGTAACGATGTTTGTTTGTGTTGTGAGCGGCGTTGCCATCAGATCGTCAGACTGAGTGTGTGCAAAGTCTGTAAATGTAAACAGTCAGCGAGTTGACCCATTTAGTTGATTTAAGTGTACTTTGTTAAACTTTAACATTTATTAAATGTAAAAAATATATTTAAATTGGAATATTGTAAGAATGGCGCAATTTCATTGACTTTTTAGCGCCTTATGTTGATGTAAAAAATCAATTTTATGGGTTTCACACAGTTTTTCAATAAAATGGTTGTATGCTATTTAAATTTGAAGAAAATGTTAATTTTAAATTGTTCTGACCCTATTAATTAGTACATCTTTCTCTGCCCAGGTGGCAGCTTTAACAGCTGTAGCGCGCGCAACGCCCGTTAAACGAGCGCCACAAAACAGCTGTTACACTCAGTCACACACACACACACTCACACATTGTTCAACCGCCTACTTGGCGGTTCAGAAGGAGCGTCACTTGCTTCAGCTCCATTCAATAATTCGCAACTAACTCCTATATAAGTGTTGGGTAAGGGGCGTTGAGGGGGTCTGCAAGCTCCTGCCACACGCATTCCACTACTCTGCCTCTGCCTCTGCCTCTGCCTGGCTGGCATTTTTTGCGCGCGCCAGATGTGCTCTCTTGCGCTCGCACTTTCGGTTTGCTTTTCTCTCTCTCTCTGTTAAATGTCAGTTGGCCTTACCAACAACAACAACAGCTACAGCTACAACTTGTGCCCGTGTGTTTGTTGCATTTTTTTTGGCGCTGGATGTGCTTGCTTTGGCGCGTTTCACATGCACACACATTGCCTGCCTGGCTGCTTGCCTCTGCTGACGCCGACGCTGACGCTGCCGCTGCCGCTGCTGTCGCTGTCAACGCTTGGCTCTCTTTCTGATTTAGCTCTCCCTCGAGTCGTTCGCGCTGCCTGAACACCGATCTTTTTGATCACTGCTCAGCTGCTGCTTGATGAAGTTCGTGGCCGGCGTGTGACGACGTATAAAAAAATATACATTTTTTCAAGTGCAAATAATATTCTATTACCAAATGCAAATCTTAACGCCTTGCAGCGCATAGCATTGAGCACAATAAGCACCACAAATTAAAGGTAAAAAAACTACGCCCCAAGAGCCGTAAAACAGCCAAAAGAACGAAAAAAAAATGTGTAAAAATTACGCGTGTGACAAGTGTGGGATATAGCGAATGCCGCTAGTGTGCGTGTGTGTTAAGTGTGTGAGCATGTGTGTGCGAGTGTGCCGTCGTGTCTTTGCATTTTTTGCTACAAAAACAATAAGCTAACGCACACCAAAAAATAAAATATATACATATATGTGTATATAAGTTGAGACGTTTGCCAAATTGTTCTTATTAGAAAATTTGCAGATTCGACTGCTCGCTGCAGACGGTAACCGTTACGTTCTTATTGGCGACAGTTATTGTTGCTGCAAGTGTAGCTTGGATATGCATTCGACGAATTGGGTAAAGGTTTCAGCCGTTGCTAATTGGAATTAAAGCTAGGTTCAGTGAACTATTGCAACGCAGCATTGTTGAGGTCGCATGCCCTATAAGCTGGCTCGCAGCTCCAGGCTCATTTGACCCCAATTGGTTTAGCAACTTCGAATTTTGACAATTTTTCAGCCGCTATGAGCAATCGCCTACACATACACGCACATGAGTAACCGCAAACCAGGCACCGGCACTTTCTAATCAATTCGCATATATTTTCGTGGTGTCGGTCGGCGATTGCACTTTTCCCGCCATTCGAATAGATTTTGGGCGGTAAAACAAAAATGCGCCAACCAAACGCCCAATTCGCGCCACTTTAGTTGTGTTCTCTTCGCTTTTATTTTCCCCACAACCAATGACACACACATACACATCAACACACATACACACATATATATGGACACGCTCCCCGTCTGGGAGCCCGTATGTTACGCTCTCTCATCTGCACGCACACTATGAAATGCGCTCTTCCGTTTTATTCCAATCAGAATAACGAGAAGACCGAAGCGTCGCTGTCGCTGTCGCAGTTGGCGTTCGCTGTCAACGCCGGCGCAGTTCTCTGCGTCCACTTTTTCTTTCACCATTCTCGAAACAACAACAACAAGAAACAAAAACTTTTTAGTACATGCTACGTCGCCGTCGACGCCGGCAGCGCTGCATGCTTTTGAGATATGCGCCGACGTGAAAAGCTCAAAGCGAAAAAAAAAACATCGAATCGAACCTTTTGAAAACTTGACGAAAACGAAGCAAACGCGCAAAGCGCACAGCACAAAAAGAAAGAAAACATAAGTAACAGACAATGAAGAAAAAGAAAAAAAAAAAACAACAAGCAAAGCAACTGAATTATGTCAAAAGTGGCGCAAAATCTGTTGGTAGTACGTGTGGCTGCCGCCTAGACTTAAAGAATGGGGCGAGCGGGTGGGCAGGTGGTGATATTGCTTGGGGGTCTAAGCCTCGACGCTGCTGGGGTTCATTGGTATTTGAGAGTGTGCGTTTGTGTGTGCGTGTGTTTTAGCAGTTGGTTACTTTTTTTTTTGCTAATGCTTTTTCTCTGCTTGTTTCAAATTACCTGCTACAATTTGTTCATTGTTTTGTGACTTTCTTTTTGCCTGTTTATTACGCTCTTTTGCATTTTGTTGTTGTTTTTGTTGTTGCTGTCGCTGTTGTTGTTGTTTTCTTGAGGCTTTTTGCGTCTTGGCTTTGTATTTGCTTCTGACGTTTTCTCAATGTTTTGCTGTTGTTTTATTTTTGCGAAATACTTGTATTATTTTTCTTTATTTTTTCATGTTTTATTATCATTCATATGTTTGTATGGCGCAGGGCTGTGCAAACTGGCTAAAGACGCGAAAATAGGCGTTGGGCAGGGTTATTTGCCGGTTGCGTCATGAGTTTTTATACCCTGAACTCATTTAAAATGGGTATAAGGGTATATTGTATTTGTGCAAAATCCAAATGTATGTAACAGGCAGAAGGAAGCATCTCCGACTCCATAAAGTATATATATTCTTGATCAGCACCAATAGCCGAGTCGATCTAGCCATGTCCGTCCGTCCGTATGTATGAGCCAAAGGATCTCAGAACCTATAAGAGCTAGAGACTTGAAATTTTAGATGTAGATGCTCCTAGTTCCCGCGCAGATCGAGTTTGTTTCCGATAATCGATAACTTACTCCGTTTCCAAGCAATCAATAAAAATCGATATCGATATCCTGTTTTTTGGGCAATTTTGGTAAATAATAAGAGCTAGAGTAAGCAAACTTGACATATAGCTTCTAAAATAGAATATATATATGCATTTGATGTTGGAATAAGAGGGTTCAGGGTATCCCCTAGTCGGGAGCTCCCGACTAGAACCTCTTACTTGTTTTTATGTATAAAAATATATTTGTTATTTTACGTACCGTAATTATGGCTTTTGGCCTGCTTTGGTCTGGGAAAAGCTTGGCAAATGTTGGATTTGAGCTAAGGATTGGCGATAATTTGATAATTATTTTAAGTTTAAGTTCTAAAATAAAACGGAAGATTCTGAAATACAACTTCTTTGGCGTGAACTAAAATTGTTGAAAAATATTTATAAAATAGAATTATTTTATTAGAATCAAAAATAGATTATTATAAAAATTTGATATATAGATAGGATATATATATATATGGTTAACATTTAAAAGAGTGTTTTAGATTTTTGCTCAAGAGTTAAAAAACTTTCTTCGCAACATGATAAAATGTAAATATTTTCATTTTCAATATTTACACGCTTTATTTAACACTTGATAGATCTTGTTCAAGTGATGCGGCAGAAAATCAAACAAAATATATTCACATATTAAACGCATTTATTATATTTTCGAACATCACCTGCCCATTTAGCCTAAAGAAAATTCCAAGTAAAAATATTTCTCAATTATGCGCGGCGAGAGATCCAGAGAGAGAGAGGGAGAGAGGGAGAGAGGCGTACAAATATTAAATAGGATCGTGACTATCTCATATATATCGAAAAGCATTTTTCATTGTCTGACGACGGTTTTTGTCGCTGCAAATGTGGCAGACGAAGCTGAGATGAAGCCCTAGCTGGACGTGGACCGTGGACACCGGACCGAGGATTGTGGGGATTGTGCAGTTGAAAGGGCAGTCGAAAGCAGAAACAACAATGATAAACAATTTCCAGTTATACTCGTGCAAACACACAAAAGGATAGCAGAGAGACAAGTCGAGGGAGAGAGAAGGAGATCGATATAGTCAGACGGATATATGTGTGGATATATAATATGTGACGGCCACTTGAAGCAGTCGCATCCTTTTAAACGACTGCTGCTAAATATAAACTAAATAATCAATTGAGCGCATCGTTCGTCGGGCTTGGCCTAACGGCTACTTCAAGGCCGGCAATTCCTGGAACGGCTTGCCCATTGAAGAACTTACTTGGATTTGGTCGCCTCGTTGGTTACTTTCACACGCACCGCTCTGCAGTCCATTGCTATAGATACATTTACATTTACAGGCACAGATACAGATTCGTATGCCCACGCGTACGCTGAGAGAAATCGGAATGCTATTTTTTCAAAATTATATTACACGTGTCTAATACCATGATTATTATTAATTTTTAAGTAATAACTCATTCTTAAAGATCGCTGAAAGAGTTACAGTATCTTCATCTTCATAGTCAGAGCGAGAAAAGCTTCATATGAGGCGAAGTTCCATTTGATAAAAGCTTTAATTTACTTGGAAAGCTCTTAGTTGGATTGTACATATTTGTGGAAAGCTCTTGATTGGGTTGTACATAAATGTTTTTAATATTTCGCTAATATTCTTATGTGTTTAAATTATACGTTCTAATTAACATTTAATTTAAACAATAGAGTTTCCACATAAATTAATTAAGTTTATTAAGCGACAGAAAAATCAAAATACTTTTGTTGGTTCGGTACAATACATATATCTTTCCATTAGCTTCAGTTGTTGAACTCAGCTATAGTTCGAACTATGGCTCGTACTTTCTACAACTTTTTGTTATTAATCTAGTTGAACTTTCAACAAACTTGGTTTTATGCAATTTTAGAAGTAGATGCAAGTTCTTCTCTTTTGGGAAAAAAAAGCTTTTTTAAATTGGGTTTGGTTATTTTTTGCAGCCTTGATTCATATCTGTTATGATATATAAAGAGTTTTTATACAATCATTTTGCGAATTTTAATAAGCTTTAAGAAATTGTATTAAAAGTAAATTTTCAGTTAATATAATAATTTTTTCTTACGGTGCACGGCTTGGTCTTTCCTGTTTTGGTCCAGTGTGCGGGCACTTAGAGTTCCCACTAATTGCAGAAGCGCACAGGCGACCACAAGAAGCGGACGCATTGGCATTGACAATCCAGACAATTCATGTTACAGATACATACAATCTACATACATACATATATATGTATGTGCTCAACATATATATGTTTATATGTATATGTATTTATCTTGAGTATCTCAGGAATGTATCTTTTCTCGTTGTGCAAGCGCAGCCCAAAATGCATGCAACAGCGACAGCAACAATAGCAACAACACGGCAACAACATCATGACAAACAACTCAAAATATACACACACTCGCACACACACACACACACTCGCCCTGCGATACACACCAAAAAAGGACGCACAAAATAGCAGTTTGCGACGCAGACAGCAGAAGAAGAGAAGAAGTCGTCGTAGACGCGTCTCGGAATTCGGCAAAGGGACCAGGGCCATGGGTCCAGGGTTCAGAAACCAGGGACCTGTTTTCTGTTTTGCTCGCCCGCTCTATGCCTCCTCTCTCTCTCGCTCTCTCTCTCTCGCGCGCTCTCTCTCTCGCGCGCTCTCTCTCTCTCTCTCTCTCTCGCGCGGGCTCTCTCTCTAGTTCTCTTTGCACATTTTGCGCATTTTTCGTCAGTTCGCTTTTTACCTCAAGTTGCGAGTTCGAGTTTTGAGTATCTTTTTCATTTCCTTGTGGGAAATTGTGTGTTGCACATATACACACATATATTTATATATATATATATATATATATATATATACATATATACATATATACATATATATAAGCACATTCAAACAGAAATAAAAATAAATATGAGTACTACAAGAATTTTTGCTTCCTCGTTTGCCCTCGAAAACAATTCCAGTTAAATCCGTTCGCATCTCATTGTTGTTGACCTTGGCCTTCAGGTAAACAATTTACTCATGCTTCGTCTAATTAGGCCCTGGGAAGCTGTATAGCGCCTTTTATGTTCCACTCCTCCAACTACTCCTCTCTGTCTATCATACATACATGCACACAAATGTGTATACCTGTCGCCGCATAATTCTCGCTAACTGATAGCGAACTCCTCTCGCGGAGTACGCGAGCATCTCTTCTTCCAGTACAACTTAATCTTCATTAGCGCCGCTTTATCCTAATCGGAGGACTTTAGCCCCGATGGGGCTGCGTGTGGCCAGTGGAATTAGTAAGTCATTTATTAATGTTAGTGGCAGCGATTAAGCCTTGAACACATTTCCGAGAACTAAATAAGCCATCTCTCTGATAGGATGGCTTCATTTATTATGCAGTGTCAGATGCGATCTAACCTGATGCAAAGCGATAAATTCCAATGCTAAATTTGGCATATGGCAGTCGTTGTTTGCTGAGATAATCGAGATTTACACGTCATATGTGGCTAGGATAAATCTATTTGAACCTGATTTCTATTAATTCTAATGTGAGCAGAACAGTTATTAATTGGTTTCACTATGCTGTTCTTTATCTTTATTAAAAAGCGAGATAAAGTGCTGAGATCCTTTTATGTTGAAAGATTTTATTTTTAATATCAGCATCTACAAGATCAAAGGCCTTATATTATATAAATGATCTCAGCTGAAGCTCGTTTGAACTGTAGATAAATTACAAAGTTATTTCCAAATATTATTTATGTATATGAAGTATATGCTTTAGCTATATTTATTAGTTAAGATCACGCCTGATCTCATGTGATCTTTGAATTCATCTATTCAAGTGTTAAATAATTGTATGATTATTATTTATGCTCAGAGCAAAAGATTTGAGTATTTATTTGAATAAAAATGTATATATTATAATGTTATATTTAGGTATCGATCACAAATCAGTAAGGTTTATGATTTATTTATCAAAAGTTATTGCTGCAAAGATTGTTTTGGACTCATGAACAATTATTTTCCATCATCACAGTTCTTTAATTTAATAGACAACCATTGCTAGTCGATCGCATTAACATAGTTTTTTTTTTTTAATCAGAAACTCCTTATAATTTATACGAACGATCGCATGTTTCTGCAGTTTTTGTGGTTAACCAACATTCCAACAAAATGTTATATGGGAAATAACACAAAAAGATGTTAAACATTTTTGCAGTTCATGTCAAAAGTAGGGTTGGAAAATTTCGAGGTAAACATAAAAAAAAAACATAGCCATAAAACGAAGAAATGTAAAAGGCAGCAATTAATTAGTGGGCATATCCGCAATTAGTGTAAAAATGATGGTCCGAAAGAAGCAAAAAATGTTGTGCCGGAAAAGCAGCCAAGAAGAAAAGAGAGAAAAACCCCCTGAACAAATGGGAAACATTGTATAAGAAAAGACGATGGGCGGCAAACAAGGAGGAGCAGGAGAAAAGAAAGTCGTTAACTAAAAAGCAGTAAAAATGGGGTAGTTATATCCTGCGAGAGGTGTCAAAGTGAATGCCAGACAAAAGCGGCACATAAATCGTGGCAAAAATAACGCCGGCCCATATGTCACACAGCGCAAGCGCAACAACAACAACGGCAACAACAAAAACAACAGCAATGAGAAGGAAAAGAAAAGCCGAAACAGGAACCAGGCAGGAGCAAAAGGAAACGCGACAGGATACGAATGCGCGGAGCAATTAGCGCTGGGGAAGTCAATTGAAGTTGCAACTACAACGAATTGAAAAAAAGTAATGTCTATAAAAAATAACTACTAAGCGGCCTCGAGTCGAAAGTGACCGACTAAAAGCTACCCTGTACAGATTTGATGGTGTTTAAAGAAGGAGCAGAAACTTATTTACGTCTTATATATGCATAGAAGAATGTAAGCTTTTATCGAAAAGTATCGATAGGCAGAGAAGATAGTCGAGAATGCCCGACTAAAAGATACCCAGTATAGGCGGCAGCTGGGCTTACACTATGAAAAAGTGTTTGATGGTATTTAAAAGAGGAGGTCAACTCATCTAGCTCTTATATATTCAATTAACAATCTAGGCTTGAATCGATAAGTATCGATAGGCTTATAATATAGCTTCTGTTAGCAATTTGCAATGAGTACAGGGTATATATAGAGACACAACAGAGGGAATCCTTTAGCGGCAGCCTGCATAACGAGAGGAGGGTTCGGTATTACCAGTTTGGGGTGCCGACTATCAACAGCTGCCTTGGGCATTCACCTGCCCCGCAGTGGCAGCAGGCAAATAGCCACAACAACAGGTGCATTGATCTCTACCATATTAGAGCTCGATATAATTATGTGTGTTGTTGTCTGTCGTAAAAAAAAACCTCCACTAGAGCCAGCATTTACGTTGACGTGGCGCATGCGCCGTCGTGCAACACCTGACACCAGCAGGAAAACGTCCAGCCAGACTCTTAATCGAGCCTCGTGGAAATTCTCGAAATGATCAAATGACTATTCACCAAAAACTACCTGTCTAATCCGCAGTTGACCCATGCCTGCATTTGTCTTGGCTATTTTCCCGCTTGTAATTTGAATATCTTCTGGCGGGCACGTCCATTTTACATCATCCTAAAATACAGTTCAATATTTACTTTGGCATTTGCTAAAATACAAAATGTGGAAAACAGAAAAATTATATATGTGAGAAATGCCTTGGCAATGCACGTAAACAAATTTGTTTTGGGTTTTGTCTGTAGCTTGGACCACATGCTGCGATCTGTGCCTCATGTGTTGAGTCCTTGAAGGATCCTAACTGTCGATAACTTTTGTGAATCGTAAATATGCACTGCCTGCAACATATGTGTGTTATGTCTTAACCTTTTCTAGTTCTATTTTTAATTTTAATTACTTTTTTTTACCGATTTTTTTAATTTGTTTTGTATATTTTTTTTGTAATTTCCAGTTCCTTTATTATAAATCGCACAACAGTTTCTGCTTAATCAAGCAGCTCTAAATATTTAAAAAATTATTGATATTCAGCTTTTAACTTCAACGGCATTTCACGGCCGTACAATTATGGATTTTTATGCCAAGAGGTGAGTATATTTAATACATTTAATTTTTACTTTATTTTTTTTTAATATAAAAAAAAGCGGATATTTTATTTGAATTAACTAAATGTGTATTTAACATTGTGATTATTTTATATTATTTATAACATATTTTTATTTATTTTGTTTTTACAAATTCCTATATATTTATTCAATATTAAGACATTTCTTATGTATTATATTTATCTTCATGTTTTACTAGGGATTAACAGACCCCAGAGAAATTATATTGAATAGTTCTTTTCCTACCTGCTAAGGTATTTTCTCTGGTCCGTAATTGTGTACATTTTCTGGTCCTTAAAAATATGTCTTAATTCTTGGATAAGTTTTATGAGACATGAGTAGAATATGTAATATATATGTATTATACATATATCAAAATAATTATTCAATTTAGAGTTCTCACTGTAGATTAGTTTTTTAGCAGGAAAAATAAATATCTACTAAAAAAGAGCCTGGAGGTGGGCATGTTAGTTTCTAGTCAAAAACTACAATATTTTACAACTTAATATATCATTCTAAGCATTTTTTCAAGAAGAAGTTCTGAACGTTGCGTTTCCTCTCTAGTTCCTTGCCACTTCCTACACGCATTAACTGCGTCTATGTCGTGTGGACTTCCTTTTCAAAGCCAAACCAACCAATTAACACCCCACATGAAAGAACTAAAAACCCAACTGTCTAATAGTTACAAAGAGAATTTTTGTTTTTAATTTTCCTATTGCTATACTCTAACTGACTTCCTGTGGCGACAACGACAGACACTTCCTTACCCCCATACAATCCTGGTAGCGTAGACCTCTAAGGCTACTACCAAAGGCGACCGATGATGTTTATCTAATAACATATTCGTAATTATAAAGTGACGGGCCAACTGGTTATGGCTGACTACCCGCAGTTGCCCCTAGCTTCGAGCCAAGTGCGATAATCTAAAATGCATTTTCACTGCAACTGCGACTATTTTTACCCAAAAAGGACACAAATCGAACAGCTGTTGTAGGTGTTAAAAATAAAAGAAGTCCACTCTGATAACCAAGTGGCGCATCCGCAGCGCATTCCGCTACACATAACGAAAATTCCTATAGCCTGTGACCTAGCGAAAAGGTCCTGTTTCGGTGTCCTGCGTGTGATTAGTAAATAATTGCGCGCGAAAAAGTCATTAGAAAAGTGTTTAGTCGCTGTCAGTTGTTGTCCCGATCGACTGCCCTCCGAGGTGGTTGACAGTTCCAACCTAACCTTGCCACATCATTCGTGCCGCATGCTGATAATGTTGTCATACAATTTGTGGCTTTTTAGCTTTTCAGTGCCGACCTGCTTCTGGCCTGGAAATTAATTGAGTTTAATACCCGCCCTCCCCCGGCCCAGTGCGCGCTTCAATATAATTGCATAATTGCCCAGTCATTTGGGCCTTGTCAGTTGCGACCCTCGCAACTCCGTGCTGTCCTCCCCCTCCCTCTTCGATCACTTAAGTGATAGTCCATTTTATGGACATCAAGTTCGTGGTCAAACATGTGTGCGACATAATTATTGGTATATGTTGCGCAAAAAATATGTCACCCGAAACATAGTATAACGGAATTCTTTTAATCATCAACGGATCAAGTTTTATGCTTTTGTGAGGTTATGTTTTTTGCGCAAAAAGTGTTGCATACTTTTGAGGGACACAATTTTTGGAAAATGACGTGAGAAATGCTAAACAATTTTTGAAATGAGAGTCAGTCAAAGGAAATTTAGGTTGAAATACTATAATGGGGGATATTTTGAAATAGAAGAAGAAACTTTGAACAGGTCAATAATGCCATGTCTGACTGTAAAAACTTAAAAAGTTCTCGTTTAAAAACTTTGCAGACGTTCATTTTTTGGTTGTAGGCAATTCATATAAGAACGAGTGTTAAAAAATTAAGTTATCGAATGCTTGACTTAAGAATTTTAATATTTTAGCTTTAAATGAAAAAAAATTTAAAAAATATTTGCATTACTCAAATATCAAAATATAGATATAAATCCTTAATCCTTAATCCTTATATGAGATAAGAAGTATCTTTAGACCGTCGATTCTTTTGCTTGCCTTTCCCTCGTATTTCCCAGACATATTACTTTCATTTATGCATAGGAAATCCTGTACCTTCGCATAATAATATTTCTGCAATGCATATTTGAAATATTTACTTACCTTTACATGCCACTGAACTCTGAGCTTCATTGATTGTCATATGGAGTAGCTACCCCCCGGGAATATTTGCCCATTCCATAGTTTTGATTGTGCTAAGATGCTACAGCTGCCGCTTTCTACCTACATTTTCACACCCAGTCATAGAACCAAAATAGATGGCAACTGAGAATTTTTCCACGCTGCGTCTTTCACAGCGAACGAACTTTCACCGCGAACAAATTGACAAATTTCTCCGATTTGAACCTTTAACCAGGGCCTAGCACCCTACTGACCTACCGTTGACAAAAAAAAAAAAAATAAAACAAAACAAAAAAACTTATGTGTGTGCGGTCGCTAGCACGTACGCGCCATTAGTCCTTAGACCCCTTTTTTTAACTCAGCCTCTCTCTCTCTCTTTCCCACTCGCTCGCGGCTTGCGGCTATAACTCATTTCTAAGCGATTCCATTTCCTTGTAATTTACTACGTGATTACTTTTTCTTGTTCATTAAACCATTAAACGCGATCGATAAAGCATCCAGCCAGCGGGGGGAGAGAGAGAGGGCCGCCAAGACGAGCATCAAAACACAAGCCTTCTGCCGATCCTTTGGCCAAAGAAAAATGGCTTAGCATTTGAATTTATGTGCAGCCAGGCCCTTTCTCGCTTATACTCTTGCCGTGGCTATTATGATGATGTCACAAAGCTTGTGCACTCCATAATCTATATATGTATATATTCTCTATCAAGAGTCTTTCTAAGTTGTCTGCTTTTAAGCAAACAAATTAAGTCAAAATTTATCTAAGGCCTGCCGTGAATCTGTTTATACTTATGACAAATCGGCTAGATCAGTCGAATATATTAAAGAAAAATTGGAAATCTAAAAAAGTTTGTTTCTTTGTCCGAATAAGTAATTTTTGGATATCTTATCTACATTTTTGCTAAACCTAAAAAACTTTATCTCATCGCTTGGATTGAAACCCGAAATAAACTGTTTTTCGAAGCATATTTTTGGCTGACTTCATTCATATTTCATATTTTCATATATTTTTTTGTTTAAGAAAACTCATTGCAATGATTATGTTTTAAAAAATAAATGGTATATCAATATATGTCGGCAAGAGTATTTAAACTTCGGCGAACCGTAAATAAGTTTTTCTTATTTTGAAGACGTTTTTTTAATGAACCCCTTTTGGCACCTTTTGTTGATTTGCAAGATGAGCTGCTGTTAGGGGTTAAACGAGCGAACTTCTCGAATTGCAAAATGGAAAAATTCGCGCAACGAATTGCCTGAAGTGCAGTTTTCTTTCGGCTGAGATAAACATCTGCCTGGAAGAATATTCTAATAACAGTTACACTTCCTCTTGCATTATGCATAATGTGCATGCAAATTTGCCAAAATTGCTTAATTTTTGAAAATGTAAAGGGTCGTGAAAAATGCGAGAATGAGGCGTCTCCCAGCCTCTCGATTACAATTTCCCGGATGTTAAATATATTCATGTAGCCAATGGGCGCCTGTCAAAATTCAATGAATTTATGCCTGCGCCCCTATATGCACTTGAGGCAGGGCCTTGCCTTGCTTTCTTTTGCTATCTTTTCCCATTTTTGATTGAGTGGCATTGAGTTTCCCCAGGCGCATTGCAAATTTTCGTGTAGTTACCAACTGTACAGCATGTTGTTTGCTTTCCTTTTGCAGTGCCAACACAACCAGCAGCAGCAATGAAAATCAAGAGCACGCCGTCGCAGTCACCCCCGCCAGCAAACAGACTAGCTGCAGCGGAGCAGCATCCACATCCACAACCACAGCCACATCCACAGATCGTCTAGTTATCTGGAGCGACATATCCAATTCCGTGGATATGTATCCCTGCTTTGGTCAAATAAATGCATCATCTTCCACAAATCTTATGGGCGGCAGTTGCAAGCGCAAACGTCGCTCATCATCCACTAAGGTGAGTAGTATCTTTGTATACCCTGCTAGCGATAAGGTTTTAGTTCTCTAGTTTGTATTGTGAGTAAATATACTCTATGGCGCCTCTGATATCAGTGTTCGCTGTATCTGTATCTGTGTATTTGTGTGCCGCTCGTAATTTGCAATCTTATCAAGGAAATGCCAAGCGCTTCTGCGGCTTGTCAATGACCCTAACGATCTTGGCATGATCAGCTTAATATTTGCTCAATGCACTATGGCAAGAAACTGGACGTGACTCTATATAAAATGTGTTCAAACTATTTTTTTTTATTACTTTCAAGAATATTAAGCAACAATTTACACATGTAAAGTAATTCCCATCGATCGACAATGTGCGTTCGTTTACCATTTTGCTTTGGGCTCTACAAGCTTTCGATTTGCTGCTAAGTAAACAACTTTCGGACCACTGTGCCCAATGTATGAATGAAACGTGCACTGTGCGGTGCTTTATTCATCTTTATTGCCTTTGGTGATCTTGTCACTCTGGTTTCTGTTTTGTAGACTTTGATCTTAGGCATTAGCTCATCGGTTTGTTATTAGGTTTGAACAAAAGTAAAACAGGAAATAGGAAATTATTTTCAACTAAAATTAACATTAATTTTGAGTGCCTGCTATCGCGCTTTGAAGTACAACTATTAATTTGTATGAATCGAAAATCATTTGTATTTGAAATAATAAATAGGAGATATGAATAATCAAATATATATTTATTTATCCGAAAATTGTACGAGATATTAATAACTTATAACTGATTAATTTTAAAGTGACCTTCAACTATTTTTCTATTTTTTTTTTAATATTGTTTATTGATCTTGAATGTTTACTGATCTTGATTTAAAATCGAACTTTAGGGGCCGTTGCTCAATTTTAAGAATAAGTGCTGGCACTTTTTTATATTTCAATTTTAATATAATATTTGATAATGATTAATGCTGATCTTCAATTATTAAAATACTTCAATTTTGGTTTTTCAAAGATTCATTTGTTTTATTGTGTGCCTATGATCCCATAGAAGAGTTGATTAATGCATGTTTGCATATTTTCTTTTTCAAAACTGTTCGCTATATTTAAAATTTATATTATTGAGCAACACTTACGGATCTTAGTTTAAAACTGATCCTTTTAGTGATCAGCTGATCTTTAGTTATTTTCAGGGCATTCAATTCGACTGTCTTTTGAGTGATTTTATCGCGGCAATCGTTCAATTAGCTTGTTAACGTTTTCATTTAGAATATATATGCATATGTTATTTTAAGGACTCGGCTGCCGATTTGATCTTTTGTTGCCTGATCTGTAGACAAATAAGCCATTGGTCACGTACAAGATCTCAGCCACTTGGCACTTATTTGGCTGCATTCTGGCGGAGGCAAACACAATGCTGCAGCCCAAAAATAAATGCTACTTATGAAAAGGCACATTACGCACTCTACTCTGCCCGCTGGGCAAGTCGGGGCTTCTGTCTTGGCGTGCTGCTTTCTCAAGTAGCTGCAATCAAAGCCTGGCACAATGGAGGGCACACGGCACAGACAACGCGCCGGCTCCTGATGGACGAAAGGCAGCTGTGTTGGTGCAAAGGATTTGCTGGCTGTGTACTTTGTGTGCATATGTAGTAGTAGCATTATTTTTTATTTTTTAAAAAACTGACAGGCTGCGAGCAATGAACTTGCAGAAAAACTGTTGGTAAGCATTGGGTTGGTTTTTGCAAAAACACGGCGACTCTACCCCAGTTTATGCTTTATATAGGCTGCAAAACAAATGTCATTCTGGTAGCGTGTTTGTTTTTTGCCCCCCCTCCTCAAGCAGTCGACTAAGAATTCCTATGCTCTTGCAATATGCTGAGCATATGCACATTAGGACCAAGGACAAAGGACAGACAGACGACGTCGAAGTTGATGTTGAGAACGTTGCGCTTGCGCGCGCACACCTTGAGCCGGGGACATGTCCACCAGGGGTGGGTTTTGCGCAGGACCTAAAAGTCAAGGCCTTGGCAAAATGTCCGTTAAGAAGTTTACAATTTTTTGAAATTGAAATTGTGCGATAGTTGTAGCTTAGGTTGGGGCCGAGCTGCCTGCAGGCTGTGTTGTCGTGCGTGAAGCAAGCAACTAGATCAAGACGGGATGGTACAAGCGGATGCGCCTTAACCACAACAAGAACGAACCGCACGAAATGGGGTTGCACTTATCCTTTTTTCTTTTTTTACCTTTACCTTTACCTTTCAAGGATCGCACCATCTAATTAAATATTCATCGAGACGACATTTGCAGCGGCGTTTGAGAAATGGCTGCATTACCGGTCCGTCCTGCCATGGGACAGTAGCCATCCTTATGCAAATGTGTTATGTCCTGCTGCTCATTAGATTTCCGTTAAATATTTATGCAAATCATTTTCTTATCGCGAGTACTCTGCTCTACAGTCTGTCATCTGTTTATGGGACGCGTTATGGTTCGTTCCTCAGGCTTAATTATGCTGAGTACGGGTTTTCTCTTCGCCTTTCTCTCCTGGCCTGAAATATTATACAATATTTGTTTAGCTCGCGCAAAAGGATAAAAATTATGGTATTATTTTACCAATTTGTCAGTGTAATGCAAACCCTTTTGTGCGTGATATGTGCACAGATTCCAACATTGTTTTTCTCTTTTTTTTTTGTTGTTTTTTGTTGTGTCTTGTAAGCATGAAATCGGTACCACCTTTGTTTTCGCTTCTTTTTCACCCGAATTCGGAAGGGGGCTTTTCATCGTGTCTCGCTGCGGGTCCTTGCCACAATCAAGTGCAGGACTTGTGCTTGATTTCTGTCAAGTCAGCGCACACACATTGACGCAAACTTGATTTTCAAGCTGGCTCTTTTTAAGGTTCTTCTTCTTGTTGTTGTAGCTGTCGATGTTTCCCAGGTATCCCAGCTTGGGATAGACAAGGAAAAATTGTTGTAATTTGACGTGTTTTCCTTTGATTTTTTTTGTGTAAACTGTAATTATAAGAGGATTGCATTTAGCTTGGGAAACACAAGCATGACAGTTGCTGGGAATCAATGCAAAAGTTGAGTTTGAGTAAAATGAAGATGTTCTGGGAAGAAGAATTTCGTTTGTCTTGATATACAACAATTTGCGTGAAGCTCAAGAAATCTCAGGATATTTTGAAGCTTAAGAATTGACAGCATTTGTTGAAAAACTTTATTTGATGTTGTTTTACTTTGAGTTTGATTTTTTTTTTTAAGTTGGAATAGTTCAGCATTTGGGCATATTATTTCGACAGTGCTTGCTTGAATAAGTTCCAAAGCTGATTTGAATTTGTTTTAAGACATTTTTTAGTCTTAAATATATATTTATAAAATACTCCTTGCCTTCTTACTTTTTACCTATTGCAATTTAAAGTTGGGCAAAATTACACACTTAAACTTTTTTCAAGAAGAAAACTTTTCGTTAATATATATGTATTTATCTACAGAAAGTAATTAAAGTAATTACTAGTAATAATTTTTAAGGAAGGAAACTTTCCTTTCATTTATATCAATATATCTACGGCAACAAGGTAACATCTGTTTCGAGTGTCTACAACCCTGATAGTTCCTTATCTAATCTGCACCCAGAATAATATTTCCCTCTAGTTACGCATGAATTTGTATATAGCTAGATACTTCAAAATACACCTTTATATGAAAGCAGAAGAAAAAGCTAATATTTTATTAGATATTATTACTAGATCAGTTTTTGAAGTAATGTTCGAATCAATTTAGAATCAGTGTATGTATACATTTCATTTATTTCCCCTCTTGCATTTCATATTCAAAATTCATTTGCCTCCTTTGCACTCTGTAATACTGCGTAACTGCCGCAACAATTGCGGCCGCAGGACCTTTGCTTAATCCCTTTGGTCATGCAGTCTAACCAATTGCATGATTAATTACATGATACTTCACGTTGCGTCCTACGTCTTCACTCGGACAGTCGGAGTTTTCTTCATGCAGAGATTTTTATAATGAAGTTTTCGCTTTTCCCTGGCGATGATAAATTTCATGCAAGTCATGCGGACAACCGCGAAAAAATAACTGACACCCATTAACCCCTTTCTCCGCTGCTGCTGACCAGGGGTCATTTTCCGCATTGCCACGAAATATGAGTGTTTGTTATTGTGTGTCCAGTGTGTGTCCTTTGGGACATGCGGCATGTTTGCATATCATTTATAAACTGAGAGCCAGAAAGCTTGGCACAATGTGACAGGCTTTTCGGCTAATTTAGAGCGATGGGCAGCACGACGTTTGCCATTTGTCTCTCTTGATTGACTAACTCTGCGATAGAATGACAGAGTAATTGTCCAACTAAAATACTGCTTGACTGACTATCTGACTTAATGATTGACCGACCGATTGAATTACTTATCGACTACTTGGTTGATTGACCGATGTGAGTCATTGATTGATTCACTGAATGAACGCTGCATTTACGCGTAATACAAATTAGGAAATTAATGTTAAATTTGTCTACAACCAGTTTTAAACATTTTCCATAGATCTTACGACCGATCTACTTAGAAGATATATATACTATTTACTGTCAAAGAAATTTACGAAAATTTGGACACAAAAAGTTAAGATGAAAATAAGGGTCTAAAGTTGCATAAGCCAAATTAACGTCCCATCAAATTTTGTCTTATTCTTAAAGCGTGTTTAATCCAATTGAAAAACAGATATTTATTTTGATATTTATGACAAGAACTTGTAACAGAAAAGGACGCAAAATGCCAGCTAGCCAAATAATTGAAAGTTGAGGAATTTCTAACAGGAAAATTAGCTCATGCCACTCGTGCAACTAGCAGCTGCCTATTGCAACATATTAACAATTATCAAATGATGAAAAGAAACGGGGGGGGAAAAAAAATACGAAATTAAATGTTATGAAAGAAACTTGGACGGGGGCGAGCACAACAAAATGAAACTACAGAGCACAATGCCTGTTACACACACAGAGAGAAACACACACACACACGCACACACACACAATAATAAAAGTTACACCTGGACCCACGCCAAACGAAGGGAACCAAGACGGGGCAGAGCAAGCAAGCAAGCGAAAAAAAGGAAAGGTGTTTCGGTATTTACAAGGCGAATGCAAGCGAACGGAACGTCAGACGAAAGATTACGACACAGGACTTTAGGGTCCAATACAATGGACAACTGAGGCTAAGCAGAACAGAAACGATGCTGCGACTTATGAGGTTGACAACGTTGACAACGCTGTCGGGGACAATTGTCGATTGCATCATCTGCTCAAATGTTCAAATGGACTCCCAGTTGTTATTTCGAGTGATGTTTTGGGTGCACTCTGTGGGCTGTTTGGCTTTGCTATAAGTACAAGTTCTTGAGACAGCAGCTGCAGTGAAAAATACAAATCTTGAGCCAACCTTAAGCAGGGGGCAACGCAGTTTAACCCTTGTTAAGCTTGAGCACAACCCCTTTACGCCTGGTCCACACACAAACTCCTTTCAGCCCACTTTACAGTTCACTAAATTCACACAGCAGCAGCAGCAGGAGCCGGAGCAGCAGCCGGAGGTAGGATCAATGCAATCACATTGGGTTCACACAGCATAAATATTTTATTTATTTGCCAAGAAATTCAGAATTCTTGACCAGACTCAGTCCAGCAAACGGCAGATGTTCTCAGCGACAGCGACACGCACCAGAGTTGGTCCAGAATTTCTTATGCCATTGCACGCTTTGATTTTAATTGCATGGCATTGCGTATACCCTAGATAAGCATGACATGTGTCCATTGCCCATTTTGGCATTCCCTAAGTCTAAGCCATGAGGGTTGCATTTTGTGCCAGGAATAAGAAATTAAATTTGTCATGCGCCTCGGAACTATTTCTTCTTCTCTACTCTCATTATTTGCCCGTCTGTCTTGTCTTCTGTTGTCTTTCCTCTTCCTTTCTCCTCCATCTATCTTTTTGGCAGACCTACTCAAACAATTAAATGTGTCACATAAATATCGTTAAATTTTTTCCCTCATTTTCCTGCAGCTTATTTTCGTACAAATTATGTGAAAAATCTTTAACGAGCCCCCTTGGAATGAGAAAATTGTTAAGCTTTTATGATGTGTCACATTGACACGCCCTTTTTTGAGGGAAGGTTGGGTTAAGGAGTTTTGCAGCGATCTGTTTCAAATTGTTCACGGAATTCCTTACCACAACCAGAAAATCATACAAATGCTGTTCGTATATTGCAAAAATTTGTAGTTTTTATATTTATAGAATGAAAATATTTTTCTTACATAAACTGAATTGATTTAGAGAAAGTTCCAAAATGCTTAACCAAGACTAAAAGCTTTAGAAGCTGAAATTAAAGGCAAGAATTTTAGTTTGAACTGTGAACCGAAAAAGCAACAATATTCTCCTTTGCATAACTATTTCAGTCTTTAGTTGACAAAGTGGGTTGCTTTTTGCACATCTGCTGCTGATCTTCACTTTGATCTGTGGTTCCATTAGCTCAGCTCTACATTTTGGCTTTAGCAACGCCCCAAATGCAATGGCAAAAAAATAAAGATAATTTATTGTGAAAGACAAAAAAAAAAGACGAATTCTAAGACTGCAGCTTGAGCTCGAGCCAAAAAGGCGATAATACGACGGCAACGGGAGCAGCGGAGTAGGTAGTGATTTCTGGCCGAGTGTCTACCTGGAAGAAGTTGACAAAAATAATTGTAAAAAGGATCAGCAGCCGTCACAGGGATTTGTAGCTGCTGCTGCTTACTTGGCTGATAAACACCCAAATGCAATGCGAAAACAACAAAAACAACGCGACGTTGCGCGTCTCAAGAAATCGAACCCAGGAACCCCGGCCAGAAACTCTAAAGCTGGCAGATTGACAGAGCGGGAGAGAACGAGACAGCGAGCGGGCGATCAGTTGTCGATCCTGTTTCGGCATTGCAACCCCTAAATGCCTAAATGCAACCTTCGGGCAGGATAACGACGGCGCAACGAAGCTAACGAACCGGGGTTCGGGTTGGCAGGGTTCGGGGATCGGCGATCTGGAACGAGCCTCGATCAGCTCAGTTGCACAGCGCAAGTCAACGCGTTTGGTACACCACGAGCAGAGAGCGGTGAAAAAATAATAATAATAAAGAAAAAAATAAAACAAGAAGAAAGAAAACAAAGACCAAGAAAATGATTCGTTGTTGTTGCTGAGCAAAAGGAATCAACAAGAAATATATACCTCAAGCAGATGCAGAAAACGAGAGACTGAACCGAGTGCAAAAAACTAATTTAGGAACCGGATTTCGCAAGATCAACAGCAGCGCGATAAAAAATCAAAATTAAAAAAAAAAATTAAATAAATGTTTTAAGTGCCAAGACACACTTTAATCATACCAAAGAACTTAACGCGACTAAACAACCAAAGACTGCTGCTAAATATAATAATACAAATAATATTAAAAATAATAATATTAAAAATAATAATATTAAAAATAATAATATTAAAAATAATAATATTAAAAATAATAATATTAAAAATAATAATATTAAAAATAATAATATTAAAAATAATAATATTAAAAATAATAATATTAAAAATAATAATATTAAAAATAATAATAAAAACATAAATCAACTCTCAACATTAGCAAAAGTGCAATACACACACATACGCACTCTCTATACACACACACACACACACACATTCGAAACACTCTCCCACGTTTCCCAGCCGCGACGAAAAAGTGTTATTGTTATCAGGAACTGAAACCCTGACTGAACATATATCCTTTTGAATTTCTCTCGTGTGTGTGAGGTTTATTGTGCGGGTGTTTCGTATTATAAGACGACGGCCAGGATTAAGGCCAGGCTTGTGACAGGCGTGCCCACATAAATTCACAATTATTTGTGGATCCTCTTTGAAGTGTCTGCCAATTAATTCGAAACACGTTTTCCTTGCGTGTGAGCCTTGCTTTCGCTTTCATCTTTGTTTCGGCCTCTTACTCAAAATTGTTGTTAATGTTATTATGAAGTTGGAACAGAAGCGCAAATTCATTGAAATGGTAAAAATCTACATTAATTTAATCTATGTATTATGATAAGACTTTTATAGAACTAGAACTTTCTTAGCATAAAAAGATAGCTGAGCTAGTTGAGTCTCAAGTTGATTCTAGAATGTCTAGTATGGCAATAGATGGTTATGTATGGGTTATATTTAAGATAAGCTTATATATATATATATTTTTTTTTTTTTATCAAGTTAAGATCAGTCTAGAGATTGACTTATGTATATAAGTTAGACGATCACTTTGGGGTTACATTTAGTTGGCTGATATCTAGTGTCCGATCGACAAGATTAATTCTTTTTCTTCATGAAATACATAAAGTGAAGATTGCTCGAGATTCATTTAAGTATTAATTGTCGACAAAAACGAATTTCTTCCTTATTATTAAATATTTTTTTTCTTATGCAAATTAATTGCTAAAAGCCTAAATTGATTAAATATCAAGTTTTAGTTTTGTCAAACGCAGGCCTTAATTATTGTAGATATAATATATAATTGAATTAATATTAATATTTAATTAAAAAAGATCTACCATATTTATATATTTATTCAAAATAATATAGTACACATTTTACTTTTTTTTTATTGTTAACAATTTTACTTAAAGCTATATTCCTCGCGTTTTACAGGATCCTGAACTTGGCTACGAACCGCCATCGGCTAAACGCCAACAGCGTTTGGCTGGTGTGGCCTATGGCAGCGACCAGAGCGATCGCTCCTCGGTGGCTTCCTCGGTGTACACATCGCCGGTGACATCGACGACCAGCGAGACGGCGCTGAATGCCCAGGAGCTGCTCAGCATACGCAGTTCGCCGGCCGAGGAGCTGCCGGAGGCGCCGCATAGTCCGCTGCCCGATAGCCCAGACAGTCCGCCCAGTCCGGATCGCGGTGCCAAACAGCTGGCGGGAGTGGTGCCCTATGGAGCCATGGAGCAGTCAAAGGCTGATGTTGACGTTGACGAGCTGCTGGACGACAGCTGTGAGGAGTACTCCTTCGACGAGGAGGACGACGACGAGGATGACAACGATGTGGAAGACGATGAGGAAATAAACTCATCGAGCTCTTCGCCCGCCTCCTCAACGGTCACCGGTCGCAGTCAAAATGGTGAACGCACGCCGGCTACTCAGCAGCTGGCGCATCCGCCGAGCAATGGCAGCCGTGCCGTCAGCAAGGATGCGTTGAGCAAATTGAATGCTCAAAAGGATGTCGCCGACCACAACAGCTACAATTGCATGTCGCCCGCGGGGGAGATAACTCTGCGTCAGTGCCCGCTGCCCGCCCTCGCCTGGGCCAACGCTGCGAACGTCTGGAAACTGATGTGCAAACGGGATGAAGGGGACTCGCACCTGCGCAGCAGCAGCATGCTGGAGCAGCACCCGGGTCTGCAGCCGCGCATGCGTGCCATACTGCTCGACTGGCTGAACGAGGTCTGCGAGGTGTATAAGTTGCATCGCGAAACCTTCTACCTGGCTGTGGACTATCTGGATCGCTATTTGCATTCCGGTCGCCAGGTGCAAAAGACCCATCTGCAGCTGATTGGCATCACGTGCCTGTTTGTTGCCGCCAAAGTGGAGGAAATCTATCCGCCAAAAATCAGTGAATTCGCCTATGTGACGGATGGCGCCTGCACTGAGCGGGACATACTGCAGCACGAGAAGCTGCTGCTGCTGGCGCTCGACTGGGACATTTGCCCCATCACAGTCACCGCCTGGCTGGGCGTTTATATGCAGCTCATTGTTAACAATCGCACGCCGGAATCATTCTCGCAAATTGGCAAACAGGCGATAGCCGGCGAGGCAGATGATGCCTTCATCTATCCGCAATTTAAGGCCTATGAGTTTGTGCAAACATCGCAGCTGCTCGATCTGTGCGCCTTGGATGTGGGCATGGCCAATTATCCGTATTCGATTTTGGCCGCGGCGGCCATAAGTCATACATTCAACCGGTAAGTTTGAAATCTAGAAAGCTTTTTGCCTTTTAGTGTTTACTTGATTTAATCCAATGAAATAAAAGAAAACAATTTCACAAACCACCCATTTTCCACGCTTCTTTCATACTAACGTTTACCTTCGCTTTCTGCTTTTAGTGAGACCGCGTTGCGCTGTTCGGGCCTGGATTGGCAAGCGGTGCAGGCCTGCGCGCGCTGGATGGAGCCCTTTTTCCATGTCGTATCCAAGAAGGCGCCCTATCTGCAGCTGAATGAACAGAACGAGCAAGTGACAAATAAGTTTGGACTGGCCCATATCTGCCCGAACATTACCACCGATGACTCGCACATCATTCAGACGCACACAATCACAATGGATATGTATGTAAGTATCTGAAAAAGGGGAGAAGAACAGCTTAAGGCTACTTTGCTAGAGCTTTCGCTAATATTTTGAAATTCTTAGGATGAACTGCTGTTTGCACAGAATACATTGCATGAGATGCGTGCTCGCACTCAGGCCTCGCCGGCGACGGCACTGCGCGCTCCAGAGAGTCTGCTAACGCCGCCGGCCTCTAGTCACAAGCCGGATGAGTATCTGGGCGATGAGGAGGACGTGCCAGCAACAGCCACAGCCACAGCCGCAGCAATTAAGTCGGCGAGCAGCTCCAGCGTTCGTCAGCCGCTCCAGCCAATTGGCAGTCACAAGAATCCTGCGATTTCTGGCGCCGACAACAGCAGCGGCAGCGGCATCGTCAGCGGGAACGGCAGCGGAAGCGGAAACAGTCGCGCTTAGGCGCTCTGAAGTCTGTCCACTGTCTCTATCTCAAGCACACACACGCCCGCCCTAACAGATTTAAATATTAAGTGTTTCTAATATATATATATATATAAATATCTAAAAAAAAATATTATAAATTATTTATGTTAAGTGAAAAGTTATTAGTTGCCTAATTCCAATGTTTAAAAAATATTTAATTGAAATTTCATAAGCGCGCGCTTTTTGTTTTTTCTCTTTTAATTTGCACTTTGCTCGCAAATAACTGCCCAAACAAAAACAATGCCTATTTAAATTATGTGTATCTATATAATATAAAACAATATATAATTTTAATGTTCACAATATAGTTTATAGTCATGCTTAAATCCAAGGCAAAATTGAATTCAGCTTAAGTTTATAAATAATTATTATTTCTTGTTTTTGCCAACTTAAAGTTGAGCAGTATGTATTTATTATAGACTTCAGACTCAGCGTTGGCATATTTTATAAAGAACAATACACTTTAGGAAAAAGTCTAGTTACATTTCAATTGTACAGAGAGAACACGTCAGAAAACACACACACTCAGACCCTCAGTTAAATCACAAGCTCAAATCATGGCGCGAGGTATTAACAAACTAATCTTTAATCCAGCCAAAAGCCTATGCACTATATACTTGACTAATATACTAAAATTAACCGATAAGTTGAGGGCAAATGCACCAAAATTAACAACGACTAATGCTAATGCCGCATATTCATTCATTCATACAAACAATTAACACTACTAACCCTATATATACATATGTACACAATACATACTCTATATATATATATAAATATATGTATAGAAATACCTAAGCTGACATGAAGATAATATTTATAATGAGAATTGGCAATTGAAAAAAACAATTAACATGAATTAAATTACAAACACAATCAAGCGTAAATGTATATGTATTTGCAACATTTTTATTGTAGAATAATTGCCATAATTTGCTAAGCAAATCAATCTGTATATAACTATATATATCCTATATATATACACACACACACACACTCAGACCCGCACACACTGCTAAAACGCATATAATATATTATTATATACGTGTACAATATCTCTATGGCAACGAATGTATATTCAAAAACAACAAAAAAAATATAGTAAAATTATTCACTTAGGTTAAATTAAACATTTAGTGTTCATATTTTTAAGCCTGGAATGAAAAAGAAAAACGCACAAAAAAAGCAGAACTAAAAAAATAATTTTCGTATTTAAGTTTAGTTTTTAACGTAATATTCAATTTTAAAGTAATGAATTGAGTTTTATTAATTTCACAAGTACGCTTATCCATGATTCAATGTCAACTAAAAACAAAACAAACAAAAAAATAAATAAAACAAATATGTTGATATTTTGTATATAAAAACAGAAGAACTATATTTTTGCATATAAAGTATATAAAGTAAAAACCGTGGGCTCATGGTATTCCAAGGGGCTTGAAGAATTTTTATGTAAAAATCAATTTTTGACCATTTTTAACTCTGGGTCAAAGTTAAAGCTCACATTTACAATTCATCTACAAGATGATAGATTTTTTTTAAAATTTATTTTGGCTTTTTTTTCCGATAGTTCAAATATGCAAGTTACTGTGGTCGCTTAGTGTTAGATTGCAATTGCGATTGCTATCGCCACGGAAGATAATAACGCGATATCAATCTATTTTATTTTGTATGTCGAACAACATTCTTCCAACATTCTGTTTTCTAGTTTCCAGTTTTGCGCAAGTGAAGCCAATGCATGTTTAAAAGCTCAGTTTATGACTATCAAAAGAGCTTTTTGAATCAAAGCTTTCAGATTTTTGTGTGCCTTAATTTAGCAAACATTTCAATGCAGCAAACGCTGCTTCAAACCACCGTGTCACACAGAGTAGCTTTTGTCAGAGTGCTCTTCTCGATATATCGATATGCAGCGCGTGACACGCAGTGTGGGTGACAGCTCATCACCAAAAAGAACAATAAACCATTGCAACCCCAACAAGGCGCGCGCGTGTCTTTGGCGAGTGAAATGTTAGCCGCTCCATAATACGAAATCCCCCTCACGGCAATTTCTGCTTTCGAAATGGCGAGCAACGAGCAACGAGCAAAGAGCGCTGCGCTCTCAGTTTCAGTTCGGTGCGTGAACCAGGCGAGTGTGGATGCGTTTTTGCGGAAAGCGCCAAAAGACATAAGAATTCAATCTGAAGTCCAATACAAAACAACAAAACTAAAACGCGACCATAATTAATATAAAACATCATAGAAGTGTGCAAAAAATTGACAACATAAATTAAAAATTACATTTGTGTTTGGCAAATTAAAAAAACGAAAGACAAGCAAAGAGCGCTCAAAATTACAGTAAAAATCTAGTGTTGTAAAGCATGAGAGAAAAACGCATACAGCAAAAATAAATAAACGCGAGTGCAATTTAGAAAACGCATGTGAAAATCTCTGTACACTACAATTTCTTGAAAGCAAATGTTGAAAAAATTCCTTATACATGTATAAATAGACATACAATTATATATATATACATATATATATATGTTACACACATATATTTGTATATGTATGTATGTATGTAGTACTATAATACTTGTGAGCGCCAAAAAGCCGAAGAGCAGAGCCCAACTCAAACGCCGACGCCAACGCCAACGCCGCGCAGCCATATAAATCGTCTCTCGTCGCGAGCTTTTTCGAAAGTTAACGGTCCTGCCCGACGTTCGCGTAGTAAAAACGTAGCGTGTGTGTTTTTGTCGGCAAATCTGTGGACGTTGACGTCGCCGTCAACTGCGCTGCGCTTCACTGCACACAGAGCAGGCGTTAGCAGCAGCAGCCGCCGTCGCCCCCGTTTCAACAGACTTTTTTTGTTTTTGGTCAAGCAGCACTTTTCGCACTGGAGCTTCGAAATTGCGAATTTGGCGCGCTAAGCAGCAAGTAAGTGTGAGTGAGTGAGAGAGAGGGAGTGGGAGCAAACTCGAAAGAGCGACTTTAAAGAGCGTGAGAGCAGTCGTTGATTGCACAATAAAATTACACACACACACATTACAAAAGGAAAGCGCTAGAAATCATTAGTTTGTTCTCTTTTTTTTGTTTTTTTTTTTTTTTGTTTGCAAAATCACATAAATTAGCTAAAGTTTCAAGCGGTGCTATAAATCAAAATTTGTGTGACATTGTGTGCGTGCGCATTTCACTTGTGTGTGTTGCGCGCCCAAAAAAGTATGCTATGTCATTTTACTATTTACTACTACGCACGCTCACACACAGACACGCACTCGCCAACACTTTGTATATGTGTATATGTGTTGTTGGTATTCGTATAGTACATAATAACGGTATTATCGTGTACTACACAGCCACGCAGCTTACGCAGCTGCGTAAAATCTCAAGGCTTGACCAATGCCTCGTAACCTCGGCAAACACTACAATATACCCTCCACCCCCACCACACACAGCCCCTTAAACTGTGTTAAAAAACTAACGCACAGCTTCTTCACTAAGCCGTTCACCTACATAATGTTTGTCTGTGTGTGTGTGTGTGTAACAGTGTGTGTGTGTAACAGTGTGTGTGTGTAACAGTCATCGCTCGATATATAGAACTTCCCGAAATGGCAATAATTAATATTAATGAAATATTTTTATTTTTGTATTCCTTTCGTTTTGAAACATTTTTGCAATCTGCGAAATTCTATCAAAGAATACAAACGTGTGTATCTAAGCGCTTTTACCTGTTGTTTTAAATTTTTTAACGATATTTTGTTTGGCTGAATATGGCTGCTAGTCCCAATATTTTTCTGCAAATAACAAGGTAACAAAGTAGATATGAAACGTTGACTTTTTCGAGCGATCACTGTATTGGTTAGCGTAATCTGTATTATCCTTGGTTTTGGTTTCACTGCGTCCTTCAATATTTTTATCTCTAGCTGTCTGTGTGCTCGTCCTGCGTTTGCCATCAGCTTAATTAATTGCCGCCTGTCACTGTAGTTGTTCAGTTTGAAGTGCATCCTTTGGCATCTTCTTCGTTTTCTGGCCCGAAAAGGCAGCTAGCAGCAAACAAATTGGCCTGTGGCTGCTGCGTCCTTTCTTGGCTTTGGCCAAACAAATTGGTTTCGAGTACTGCAGCATGTTGGCAACAGCATGTCAGAGGATTTGGCAGCACTGTTTCCAAGGAGTCGACTTAAAGTAGAAGATATTGCCAGTTAAGAAGGGCTTGCGCAATTTATGGAGCGCTCAAAATGAATCTGAAAAGAATGAATTCAAATTTTAAGATTTTTGCCAAGTTAATTTGAGATATATTTAAAGAACAATAGTTTTCAGGTTGTAAATGAATCTTAATTTTATTGCTTCTGAATTTTGATTAGATTAAGCTCGAAATTTTTCACTTACAGTTAAATAAATAAATAATGGAAACTCAGCCTATATATTTTATTAAGAAATGCAGCGAATGCCCATTTAGTTTCAGATGAGAAAGGGATACCAAAATCCAAAACTATCGCTATAAATACTTAATCGATAGTGTCATCACTAACGGTACAGCTAAATTTGATGAGTTGACATTTTCTGAACACAAATCCTATTGTCATCGGCATTATTGCCGTAAGCCGATATTAACAGTCTTTCCAATTATATTCGTCAAATTGCCAGACAAGTCATAAAAGTACGCACACATACATATACACACATAAACATATATATAGACCAAGCAGATTTATAACTTATCAAAAATTTTTATATTATCCGACACACACACACACACACAAACACAAACATGCCGTGGAAAGTTTACTATTGAAAATTTTCACAATCCCATTAATTCCGTTACCGAAAACTCCCAAGGCCATATTTGCCCAGCCACTTAGTGTTGCTGTCGTTGTCGTTGTTGTTGCAGCGGGAGAATAACAAACCGAAAACCCATGGAAATACATAAAAAAAAGACGCCAAAAGGCAAACACAGCATAAAAAGTATGAAATAAAAAAAAGGAAAGGAAAATTGCGATATATGCGATATAATAAATCTTTCGTATAACACGCAAAACCTTAT